GCCAGACCATGTAGGACACTCTACACACAACAGCCCTCACCTTAAAGGAGAGAAGAGTTTACTCTGGAGTCAAGTACAAAGAACCCAGGAATGCAGATTTATGCTATACCAAACCTTTCAGCCTTTTGGCTGGTGGAAACTAGAGTTTTTTCAACTTACTACATTCCAATATATTTTATCTGTTAGTTACAGGACGTTAAGTCTGAGATAGGGTTGGGAAAGGAATGTCTGACTGCTAGGAGCTAAAAGTAGCCCAGGTTAAATTGTGATTAGGTTCTGGACCTGCAACATTCCAACCTCTTCACAGTTATTGAAGTTCTAATCAGTTAACTTGCAACTTTCCTTCACAGGCAGCATATGGTATTGGCTATGTATAGATACACACATGCACACAAATATATAAATAAAACATAAACATATATACATATATAATTAACACACATATTTACACACACATATATACACATAAGCACACATATATCCCACATCAAGTTTGAATATATTTATATTAATAATATGTGTATTATATATTAATATATATCCTTTTAAGTTCTCAGTTATTGTCAGTATTCCCAAAGGAACTGAGGCAGGTGTATTTTTTGATACTTACAAATCACAAGTCTTCTTTTTGGTTAATTAGTATATGCATATGCATGCTTGCTAGTGTGTGTGTGTGTGTGTATGTGTGTGTGTGTGTTGTTTTTGAGACAGTATCTTGCCATATTGTCCAATCTGGCCTTGAGTTCATGGTCCTCCTGTCTCGGCTCCTCAGTACATGGGATAGTAGCCACCATACCTGTCAACTTGAATTATTCCTCCTAAATGCACAAATGATAATAAGCTTGGCCTTGCCCAGAGGATTACGAGTAATCCAGCCACCTCACCACAATGTAGTACTTCAAGTTTTTGCTCATTTCAGTAATGTCCCTTGGTATTTTCTCAATCAGCTTTTGTAAGTGAAAACATAAAGTTCTGCTTAAGTGTGTCCTAATTATAAGATGTTACTAAGTACAGTTACTTCATCACCTTTCAAAAATGTGTAGAAAAATATGTGTGGATGGGGGGTTTGAGATAGGAGCAAACTAGGGACAACATGTTTAGGAGAAAGGGTAGTTCTTCCTTGTCATTTTTATTTTAATACATCAATTTAGGAATCTCTCTCTCTTTCTCTCCTCTTGCCCCCTTCCAAGAGCAGTTGGCCTTCCACACTTGCACTCACTAGTTTCTAAAGGTGTGACGGTAGTAGTCGCTACCAATTAGAGCAGAATAAGGATAGTCACTAACAGCTACAGCAGAATGAGAGATGCGAAGTAGAAAGGTCTGACTGTACCTGAAGTACAGACAAGGCAGTTCCGTTCCCTTTCTGCCTCTCCCGCCTCTCTCCTTACCAGCATTGGCTCTTCGCAGAAGTGCGATGAGAATGTGTTGCATTGTAGAAAGGCAGAGGGATCCAATCTGCTCAGCTGTCTCTGATTCACCCCGAATTACTTTTTGTGTTAAGAAAGATAGTGAATGAGGTTATGTTTTCTAGGCGGAAATTCACTTTAAAACCATTCAGCCTATACAGTGCATGTACCTACATAGTTCTGATCATCTGCTGACTTGTGAGGCTTCACTTTCCTTCCGTGTTTGAAAAAGATAAGAAACCTTCTTGTCTCTCAGACCCCACTTATATGGTGTCAACTATTGTTATCACATCATAAAACAAAACAAAATTTAAAAACACAGTAAAACATCAAGAATTAAATATGGCTTAAAGGAAGGAGGCAGTAGGTTTGAGGAGCCCATCACAGGGTCTTTATGGTTTCCAGAAGCATGAAGACAGTGCTATCTCTGCTCCTGAGAGACAGCAAAAGGAAAATATTAATAATTACAGGAGCCAGGAATCTGAATTAGATATATTTGGTTGTTATTAGAGACTACTGTAGGCAATATTAATCCTTTTTAGACTTCTCTCTTTTTTTTTTTTTTTTTTGGTTTTTTGAGACAGGGTTTCTCTGTGTAGCCCTGGATGTCCTGGAACTCACTCTATAGACCAGGCTAGCCTTGAACTCTCGAACTCAGAAATCCACCTGCCTCTGCCTCCCAAGTGCTGGGATTAAAGGCGTGTGCCACCACCGCCCGGCACTTTTTAGACTTTTCATTTTGCTTTGGAATTGCCATTAAAACAAAGTGAGATTTTGAGCATCCCCAGGTGACATATTTTTCTTCTTTCTACAATTCCCATATTACATTTTTATTATTTGTGTTTGTGTGTGCAGCACACCCATTCCACAGTTCTCTCCTTCCATCATATGAGTCCCAGGGGTTGAATTTAGTTTGTCAGGCTTGGGTATATATCCAAAAATATGAATAACTGGGTCATATGATAGTTTTAGGTTTTTAAGAACAGCTAACTTTGCCAGTGGTTGCACTGGTTTAGATTTTTACCAGCTGTGAATATGGGATCCTCTGAACTCAGGACCTCTGGAAGAGCAGTCAGTGTTCTTAACTGCTGAGCCATCTCTCCGGCCCTATAGTTCTTTATATAGTCTTTATATAGGTTTTAATAAGCTGTGTGATTATAGTTGCTATTTTCCCAGTTGTAGGCTGTCTCTTTACTCAGGTGATTGTTTTCTTTGCTATGAAGAAGCTTTTTAATTTCCTGAATTCTCATTTGTCAGCTCTTGGGATTACTGCCATTTCTTAATGGAATGTATCCATTAACTGGCTGCTGTAGTATCATATTGAATTCTAGGAGTATAAGCCTCAGAAGGGAAACTACTTATTTCAGTAGTAATCAGGAAAATACCAAGTTAGAGGAAGTTTGGATCATATTGACAATTGTAGGACTCATTATAAATGTTAACAGTACCTTTCAGTTTGGAGCAGCCAGTAGCTAATTCGTAGTTTTGTAGCCTTTATCTGATTGCTGCATGATCAGGTCTACCAAATAGATGTTCTGTAATGGCCTGTTGAAATCACCAAGCTTTTAATACACACTGCTCTCTCCTTAGAAGCATAGAATGATATTTCTAGAGCATCATTTAATACTTATGCTGAGATTAAATGTTTCCTCATGTAATTTTTAAACATTTTCTTCCTGATTTTTGAGATGAGGTTTTACTGTGTAGTCCAGTCTAGCTTTGAATTTACTGTGGATCTTGGTAGCCTTGAATCACTATATGTCAGCCCAAGCTGACCTCTAACTTTTGACATTCCATCTACTTAAGTTTCTCTGAGTACTGAAATCGAAACTTGGAGCTCCCACACCTAGCTTTGAAAGGTATCTTAAATGTGCACTGGTGGCATATTTGGTTGTTACACACAGTGACTCTGAGCATAGTGAGCTTTGTTGTTCACAGTGTTACTGGAATGCATTAGCTAGAGAGCTTTAACACATCTTGACTTTGGAATTTTCCTTGACTATCTGGAACTTTGGGATACTAGAATAATGTTTATGAACACATTAATAAGTCCTGGAAGGAGAAGATGAAGCAAGTAAGACTTCCTTTCTTTTCCTCAGATATAACAGTTAGTTTAGGTGTTTAAATGCTAATAACTGATGAATTTTGCATAAAGAGAAAAGTATGCTCAAGTAGAAACTTAGTTCTCCTTGTTTATCCCAGCATGCATGATGTCTACTAGCTCTTCTCTTTAGCCACATAACAGAATCCCTTTGGCTCCTCTGATAATGATCAGCAGCAGTTTGAGGCGCGTTTCCATGACAGTGCATACATTGCTAAAGCCTACAGTTAAAAAAAATTTAAGCTTACATACTTTTGATTTCAATGTGAATTAAAATTATCTAGCTTCATGTTTCCATGATTTGCTATGTAAATTTGAACTAGCAACTTGAATACAAAGTGAGGGTGCTGGTAAGATCTTGTGTTCTTTTGATGTTTGTAAGGAAGTCAGTGGTAGAATCCCGTAGTGCCATTATGTAGTTGTTATGATGATCTATCTTCACCCACATGTCATGGAATAGAAGGCATGCCTATTTACCTGTTATATTGGAATGACTTGAAATAGAAAATGAGAAAATGACTAGGTTTATCTTTGAAACTTAAATGTGTTATGTTTGATAAAATTTTCAAAGTAGTACTGGTTGGAAAACTCTAGATAGTGCTGTCAGATGATCTCGTATGTACCTGAGCGTGAACAAAGTTACGTCTGACTGTCCCCACTAACCCAGCCTGCTACTGTAAGCAAAGTGTCCTAAACGTAATCTTTCTTCATTTGTTTGACATAAAAGCGACAAGAGAACAAAAGAAAAAAGGAGACAAGGGTAGGGCAGGTGAAGCTCCCAGCAAACTCCACTGCAGTTAGCATTTCTCAGTTATGAGTTGGGCAGAACTTTTTGGTTTTGACCAAATAGTATAAATACTGAAAACATTACTAAAAGTTTCATAAGAGTTAAAAAGCTCATATGAGAAAGATGTTTAATGAATTTATATTAAACTGTTCTATTGAGTTCCTTACAAATGTGGCCTAGAAACTATGGAATGTCAGCACTGAGAAATATGTGAAGACTTTTATAGTGAGATTGTTTAAAGTTATGGCTGTATAATTTCATAAGAAAACTATCTTCATCCATTTTAAAATTGTATCTACATTCAAATACATTATGTAAGGAGTTTGCCTTCATTTGGGTGGGTTGTGCTCCTCCCTTTTCAGGCCCTGCTGCTCTGCACGTACTAGTTTCTATTTGTGTTAGTCACCTTCTGTAGGTAAATTGTCCATGAGACCAGTGATTCCATGAGCAAATGATCCAGAAAATGCTGCCTTTGTACGTTGTGACAGATCATGTCACTGGTGGCTCTGCAGCTACTGCAGTGGTCTAATTAACCTGGCAGTTGTCTCCTGTGCCCAACACTGTTGTCTCATGGCCTGGGCATCTTCCTTTCTATCTTCTCATTATCTTCTTAACTAAAGCTCAGCTTTATGATTGTTTGTCTTGTGGGTTTTCTTTTTAAACCTACTCCACTCAACTATTCACCACCCTTCTTTTTGATTGGCAGTATCATCCAGATAAACAAAGTGCAGATGTGCCGGCAGGAACCGTGGAGGAGTGTATGCAGAAGTTCATTGAAATTGATCAGGCATGGAAAATTCTAGGGAATGAAGAAACCAAGAAAAAGTATGACTTGCAGCGGCATGGTAGGTGCTTGTGGTGAAGAAACAGCCATGGCGGCTCTTTAAAGCAGTGTGCAGGCTATGTCTAGGGAACATTTCCCAGCATTTGCATCCAGTTACTGCCGCCATTATTCCTTGCTCTAGCATTGTTTTTAATTATGTCCTATTCTTAGTGGTGATTATTGTGTATCTTTTAAGAAATTAACAAAACTGCTGAAGTGCAGCTTCTTGGAAGAGCTTTCTATAAACTATTAAAATGTTGTTATATACCCTAAATTTTATGCAGTGTATGCCTAAAACTTCTTGTTATTAAACTTAGTTATGTATGCATTACAATCTTAAGTGTGGTATTCGGAAGACTATATACCATAGCCATGGTCATCTAAAGGAAGCTTTTACTAAGGTTAGCTCCTACAATACTGTGCTGGCTGTGCCCTTTGTTTTAAGGTAGGTTTCATGATTAGCTACTCTTCATGGAACTGCTGTCAGTAGTGTCTTAGGAATGTACATTGCTTAAATCATTTTAAAGGTCATTTCTTTTTGCCTTTTGAAAATAGCTTCTTAGAACAGTGACAAGCTGTTGGGAGAAAGAAAGAAAAATGTAGGTCAGGTTTGTCACACATGAACTGTAGTTACACGAAGTGATAGGCTGTCTTTCAGTACTGGCCTTGGGATAGGACTCCCTCAGCCTTATATTTGGACTTTCAATAAGCATCCTACATGCTAATGGGGGAGTCAATAATCAGTTTCAGCCCGTGGGGAAAACACTCAGTTGCTTCTCTCCAATACCATATCAGGCTCGGCACCGACTGAGATGTGCTGCTAGAAGCTCATGGTGGCTGGATGACTATTGATTCCCCTCCTGTGCCAACACCAGTACACTTTCCACCTCACCAAATGAACTTTCAGTCTTCTGCTACGAAGATTATGAAAAGTTAATTTGAGAATCAAGCCTTTATTTCTAAATGTAAAGTTACGGAATACAGCCAGTATTTGTAGAAATCCACAGTATCTGAGGAAGCTGTACCATAAATAAATAAATAAATAAATAAATAAATAATACATATTTATTTTCGATGGTATTTAATTTTTTTCATTTTCATTTATTTAAACAGGGTTTTGTTTTTGGTTTTCTTATAGCCTAGGCTGGTCCCTATGAGGCTAGACTGGCCTCTGATTTGCAGCAATTCTTCTGCCTGAGTGCATGCCAGCTGTAGCATTTGTTTATACTGCTATTTAGTTGTGTTTCTAATCATATATGGGCCTTTCTACTTTTTAAAAGATCAGTGTGTTGTTTTTGTTCTTTAATATTAGGACATGGTGAGTATACCTTTTAAAGTGATTTGCATTGATTTTTTAGATGTGCCTTAAATATTTGGTCTTCTTTTTGGTGTATATATTTTTTGTAATTAGATTGTATTTCTGGCAGAAAGAATGTAGAAGTACCTTCATTTGAAAACAAATTCTATCCTTAAGTCTATCCTTATAAACTGGATTCACATGAGTTTCTATGACTATATTGGAGCTAATGCATTTGAATGTGTTGTAATGTTGAATGTGACCTGGTCCAGCTTCATAAAGCAACAGAGTTCAGTTGGAGATGAGAGTTCTCTGACGGTGTTTCTTCACATTTTTATCAATCATTACTGATGTGGGATACCAGTTTGCTTAAGAAGAATTCACACAAAACTATACTCTAAGGAGTATAGGACAGGGCTGGAGTTAAGGGCACTGACCTGGGTTCAATTCCCAGTGCCATATAGCATCTCATAACCATCTACAACAACAGTCCCAAGGCAATCGAAGCCCTCTTCTGACTTCTGTGGGCACCAGGCCTTTGTATGGTACACAGGCATATATGTAGGCAAAATTTCATACACATAAAACAAAGCATGTAGAGACATGATGTGATGTTCAGTGTCTGCATTTTTGTCACTTATAGTTTATATACTACAAAGATCATGAGAGTGAAACTGGCTAGAAGTTCTGAACATGAGTGCTCTGTTTCCATTTTAAATGGCCATTGGCCTGCTTTTGAGAGCTCTCATATCTAAGTGTGACGTGCTGTATTTAAACCTTTTATTTCAAGCTGCTTTTCAAAAACTCTCGTGATAAACCTGAATACTAATACTAATTTCTTCTTACTCATCAATAAGTGGCCTTTCAAAAGCAAATGAAGTGAACTTGAATCTCTAACAGGATTTAGATTTGCTATAAGGAAACCTTTGAGGGTGCTAACTTGTTAAAGATCCATGTAGGACAGCAAGAGGGAGAACTGCTCAAACCAGGTCAGAGCACTCAGCTTTTCTGGGTCACCCCTGGGGACATGGAAATAGCTTTGTGATGCAGAATTCTTTGTGCATGTGATGATGGTTATTGTAAAACCTACTCTTTGCAGTGTTAAGTATATTTATTGCCTACTTTCTATTGACTTGCAGTGTAAGCAAGCTGTACTTGCTTCAGTGGTTGATGTTCAGTGCTTTTCTGTATCTTGCAGTTAAGAGAGGTAGTCTAGATATCAGAAGAGCCTCATCAGTATTGCCCATAACCATAGATGTATCCAGAAAAGGACCCTTGGCATTCATATTTTTTTGCTTCTCAAAAGAAACAACTAAATGGGTTATATCTAGTGAAAATGATAATAGGGCAGATAGCCTTAAGTAAAACTTTTTTTTCTTTTCTCCTTTCTTTCTTTTCTTGACATTTTAGGGTAGAGCTGGTCAAGCAAAAGAAAGCAAGTCTAATATTGGGTTTCCATCCAGAGATCATAGATTTTGAAAACAATGTTAACTAGTGAAAATAACCAATTAGTTCCAGTTGGCATAGTTACCATGTTGTTGGTAAAGATGCCTCTTAAGCTGCTTGAAGCTTACAAAGTATGTAGTTATCCAAGACCAGGCTTTGCATTTCAACCAAAGGCACACTTGGAGAACTCTTTCAAGATGTGTAAAATATTCACATGAACAATACTATCTAGAAGATTTTGGTGTCTTTGTAAGTCTTGTGTGGGAATTTTCTTATATGTTAAAAATATTAAAATAACAGAAGTATCTCATGGGAATAACAAGGAGCATGGTTCAATAGCTTTGTGATGTTTATCACAAGATCTCAATGTCTCAGTGGCTCTACAGAATGGCACAGCTATGAGCTGTCTCTCTGTTATCTGAAGAGGAACAAATTTACAAATGCAGTTGATCAGATCAACTAAAGCTTAAAAATAAGGGGACTGTGTTTGGAATCCCTGTTGATACCTTAAATTAAAATACATCTCGTTCTCAGTTAGTGTGGCTACCTGTGTACTGTCATTCTACCAAGTGCCCAAGTATGTAAATGCCTAAGCAGCCTGGCTAAGAGGGATTTGCTAGAACATACAGCTAAGATGCTGCTTTTTGCTGGATATAGCAAGTTATTTCTGGTGTTTTATTATGCAATCACTTCATTTCTTTATTAGGATAAATATTTGAACATGGAAGATAAGGAAATAAATCTTATACCAATGAGGAATGAATCTTTAAAACTCTACAGATATTCATGTATTAGATCACTAAATCTTAAGTGTAAAATTGTAATTCTTTCGGAAAAGATCTTTTATGTTTTAATATGGATTATAAGAAAGAGGAAATATGTTTTTAAATGTAAATAATATAAATTTAGGCTGGTAGTACTTGAGGCCAGTAGGTAATTGTGTAAATTATGTCCTAACGCTGACCCATACAAAATACTTGAATTAGTCAGATTAGTAGTTCAGTTTGATTTTAGGAATTTCAAAATTGACTGTAAAAATTTGCTTCAGGTAAAATCTTGTAGATAAGCATCGAGAGATTTGGTTTTTTTGCTGACTGTTTCTGGGAAAATAAATATGTGAAGTGATGCAGAAAATCCATCTAGACAGTTGAAACTGGTATCTTAGGATGGACAGGCGAGCACAAGGACTCTCCAGGAGGGTCCTCTGCTCATCTGAGTTGTCACTCATTATTTTTACCATGCAAAGTACTTTAATATTATGTTACTAATTTTGAGTAAAAGTTAGTTTCAAATAATTAAAAACCTATTGGCAAAAATATGTTTGTAATTGTGGTGTGAGCACACACACACCATTGGAGGGTCTGATTTAATAGAACTGATTGGTGGGTTTTAGGAAGTACTTATTTTCTAGTTTAACTACTCTCAATTTCTATGTGTTTATTTAACCCAGTTGAAGTTGGTTGGTTTAAAACCAAGACCAGTTAGTTGCCTTTTTCATTGTTTCATTCTGTGCTTAGACCAGAGCTGGTCTTGCTGGTTACCTCTGCTTTGCTCTGCTTGCCATCAGTGGGTCAGAAAGGTCAGGTCGAATTTCTTCTTTGTGTTCCCTTTTCCTGTATATTCATTTCATCCTCACAGCCTCTGTAGTCCACCCTCACTGTATAGCTCACCGTCTCATCACCTCCACAGTTACTGGGCCTTTCCATTTCGTGCTGCTCTCTGCTCCCATGGCCTCTGATTTACACCCCCACTTCTCTTTTTTTTTGGGGGGGGGTGGAGTTCAGAAAGTCTGGCTCATCCTTACTTTCCCCATCCCCGTATATCAGATATATATGTTTGATAGTAAGGCATCTGTTTTAATGGGACCGACAACTGTTATGAAACCAGATGAAGTAAGGAGTTGCTGCCTTCCTTCCTACACTGGAACCTGAAGCTTCCTCACTAACAGCGGACTAGGTTTTAGTCATTTTCTTATGCTCTGGTACAGAGTTCAGTGGGAAAAGTATGAGATAATAACAGTTGAAATAGTATCTTTGTGCACTGGAACTGTGGTAATTGCCTTTTAAATATTATTTCAATACCCTTGTGAGGAAGATAGCATTATCTGTTTCCAGGGAAAGTCAAAAAGCTTCTTGTGGTTAGCTAATTTCACCAAGGTCACATAGCAAGGGATTCAAAGCAATTTTCTCTGAGTTTTAATCAAGAGTACCAGACGTCCATGTTTTGCACAACTAGTGTCTAGTCCACTGTATTTGAATCTACATAGAGATGAGGAGACT